TAAAGCCACTATACAAGGAAATTAATTTTACAGATGTAATTATCTTATTCTCATTGTCCCACTAAAAGAAGTGAAGATAAAAGACGAGCGAAACCGGCAGCTTTTTTTTTAAGGAGTGAAATAAAAGACTTTCGTTCTCTCAGTGAAAAGTGAGAGTGACAGGCTCATTGAGCAATAAGCAAAATCGAAAGCATTGCCATTGCCACCTGTTAATAAAAAAAGTACTTATATTCTCAGTTCAAAACGGAGGCTCTTTACACTTTCACCCAACGGTTCAAAATCTCTGTTTCCATATCCATATCCATACCACTCACACAATCTCTCATCAACAGCGGCTATTGCTCATGCTCTTCCTGTTCAACGCGTTTGTTCACATTTGCAATCGAACTGCAGCTTGGGAAAGGGATAAGAGGGGGTTAATTAGCGGCAAACAAAAATTCCAAACCATCAGAGGGAAATGGATGGTTCCAGTTTTATTTACTACTAATATGTTAATTAAAGGACGGGACTTTATTCGGGAGCATATGGGGTGGCATGATTTTGAGGCAAAAGGAATCAAGGTAAGCAGCTTTTCTTGATAGCAGGCACCATTATGGGGTAATTAGTGGAGTGCCTTGCAAATGGTGAAATGCACTTAGCCCCAAAAAAGCCCACCTTGGTCTAAGAATAACGACAACCCCGATTAATTGTCTGACTTCCTCCACCATAAATTGATGCCGGACAAAAGGAACTAGTTAGTACACGTCAACTATATTGTATTAACCCCACGTTTTTTAATGTCATGTGCGACATCGAAAACTTTAGTCTTTTGTAAAGAAGAACATAAACAATGACTCGCCCAGTGAAATCGTATTAATTTATCAATCTTCTGGATCTGTCAAGATATGCCCCATGTAAGTGACTGTGTCATTCTGATGGAATGGATTATTTTTATAAATTAAATACTTCCGTTAAATATGCATCCCATTCGATCCAAAAAAAGCATACTCATGCAAACTTCAAATTAGACACCACCGTTGAATATGACATGATGCCATTGTTGAATCTAACTCGACGTGTTTGATGCAGTCACGGTGTCTATTACGAAGAAGAGTCCTCAAATATACAACAACAACAACAACAAGCCTTTATCCCACTAGGTGGGATCGGCTACATGGATTGCAAGACGCCATTGTGCTCTATCATTTATTAAGCTTTTAGAAATATTATTAATTAAGAGATCACGTTCAACAACTTCCAAGAGTGTTCTCTTAGGCCTTCCTCTACCTCTCTTAATCGGACTCAAAGTTATATGTTCCACTCTTCTCACTGGTGCCTCCCTTGGTCTTCTTTGTACATGCCCAAACCATCTCAACCGATTTTCTACCATTTTTTCCTCAATAGGTGCCACCCTCACTTTTTCACGTATGTGCTCATTTCGAATTTTATCTTTACGTGTATGTCCGCACATCCATCGTAACATTCTCATCTCTGCTACTCCAACTTTATGCTCTTGCTGTCCCGTTAGAGCCCAGCATTCACTACTATATAACATTGCCGGTCTGATAGTAGTACGATAAAACTTTCCTTTAAGTTTATTAGGCACCTTACGGTCACAAATAACTCCTTTAGCTTTTCTCCAATTAAACCACCCAGCTTGAATTCTATGTGAAATATCTCCACTGATTTCGCCATCATTTTGGATAATGGCTCCCAAATATCTAAACTTTTCCACTTGAGGTATAATTTGATCTCCCAATTTCACTTCCAAATTATTTTCGAATAGTCCTTTATCAAATTTACAATATAAATATTCCGTCTTACTTCTACTCAGACGAAAACCTTTCGACTCCAATGTCCTCCTCCATAACTCAAGTTTGCAATTAACCTCTTCTCTTGTCTCTGCTATAAGAACTATATCATCCGCGAAGAGCATACATTTCGGGATTTCCTCTTGAATATGTTCCGTCAAAATATTTAAAATCAAGTTGAACAAATAAGGACTCAGAGATGATCCCTGATGTAGCCCAATCTTTATAGGAAAATCCTTTGTTTGACCACTAGGCGTTCTTATACTAGTTTTTACCCCCTCATACATATCTTGTATGGCTTTAATATAAGCAATCCGTACTCCCTTTTTTTCCAACGCTTTCCAAAGCACTTCTCTTGGTATACGGTCATAAGCTTTTTCCAAATCAATAAAAACCATGTGTAGATCTTTATCTTTACAACGATACTTTTCCATTAATCCCCTTAGTAGATAAATCGCCTCTGTAGTTGATCTACCTGGCATAAAACCAAATTGATTCTCAGAAATACTTGTCTTCAATCTCAACCTGTGCTCAATTACTTTCTCCCACAATTTCATTGTGTGGCTCATGAGTATAATCCCTCTATAGTTAGTACAATTCTGAATATCTCCTTTATTTTTATAAATAGGAATTAATGTACTTCTCCTCCACTCATCAGGCATTTTCTTGGACCGTAAAATCACATTAAATAACTTAGTTAACCATCTCACCCCTTCTTCACCTAAACATTTCCACGCTTCGATAGATATACAATCAGGTCCGTTAGCTCTACCATTTGCCATTTTCTTAAGAGCTTCCTTTACCTCCTTATCACGTATTTTTCGATAGAATGACAAATTTTGTTCTCCTTCACCAGTTACTAAATCCTCCAAGTTACTAGATGAATCCTCTCCATCATTGAAAAGTTTAGAAAAATAAGTCTCCCATCTATTTTTAATTTCATCATCTGTAACTAAAATTCTTCCCTCTTCATCCTTAATACACCTTACCTGTTCTAGATCTCTTGATTTTCTTTCCCTACTCTTGGCAATCTTATAAATATTTTGCTCTCCTTCCTTCGTCTCAAGGTTCTTATAAAATTCTTCAAAAGCTTTAGAATGAGCTTCACCCACAGCTCTCTTAGTTTCCTTCTTAGCCATACGGTACCTCTCCCAATTTTCCTCATTGTTACACAAATGTATGGCTTTAAAACAGTTCTTCTTATACTTGATTTTGTCCTGTACACTATTATTCCACCACCAAGACTCCTTATCTCTCGGACCAGGACCTTTCGATTCTCCCAAAACTACTTTTGCAACCTCCCGTATCTTTTTAGCCATATCCTCCCATATGATGTTAGCACTTCCCTGAGAATCCCAAATTCCTTTATCCAAAAGATTTCGCTTGAAAATATCTTGCTTCTCACCTTTTAATTGCCACCACCTAATCCTTGGTGTTACTACTTGTCGACGTTTTTGAATTTTACTCATAATACACACATCAAGGACTAGGACCCTATGTTGTGTCGTTACAGCATCTCCAGGGATCACCTTACAATTTTTACAAAGTTTTCTATCTGTGTTCCTAACCAAAAGAAAATCAATCTGCGACCTTGAGGCTCCACTTTTGTAGGTGATGAGATGCTCATCTCTCTTCTTGAAACAAGTATTGGCAATCTTAAAATCATACGCCAATGAGAAATCAAGAAGAGTTTGCCCTTCATTGTTTAGCTCTCCAAAACCAAAACCACCATGCACCCTCGCATACTGACCAGCTTCCCTCCCGACATGCCCATTAAAGTCTCCTCCAATAAAAATATTTTCACTCTGTGGTATGTGTCGAATCAACCCCTCCAGATCCTCCCAAAATAATTCCTTAAGACTGGCTTCTGTCCCGACTTGCGGCGCATAAGCGCTAACAATATTAACAGTCTCACGTCCAATTATCATTTTTAAAGAAATAATTCTGTCTCCAATTCTGCTAACTTCTACAACGTTCTTCTTCCACTCCTTATCTATAATGATGCCTACTCCATTGCGTGCACTTACTTTTCCTGTATACCAAAGTTTGAAACCTTGAATATCCTTAGCTTCTTCTCCATGCCATTTTGTTTCTTGCAAGCAAAGGATATTGATTTTCCTTTGAATCATAACCCCTACAACCTCTACAGATTTACAATTTAATGTCCCAATATTCCAAGTACCAAATCTAATTTTGCTCTTATGGACTAACTTCTTTAGCCGCGTGCGTCCAGAATGACGCGGTAGCCCTTGCTCATTTAACACTACATCCTGGCGCCGATGCAGCGGCTCTAACTCACTTATCACTGTACTCGAGCCATGCAGCGCGTTACTTACGGGCAACGACCTAGCATTAACATTATAACGTCTATTGTCCATGTTCATGATAGATTCAACAAATTTTTACATTGGCTGTTGATGGCCTAACACAACCCTCCTCCTTTACCCCGGCTTGGGACCGGCTATAAACATAGGCGGAGTTAAGAGTCCTCAAATATAATTGCTTCAATATCAATATCCTTAAAAAGGAACAGGCTTCAAAATCCTCATGATTATTCAGCATGCCAGATGATCCATCAGGCAATATGTTCAGGAATTGATTACACGCTAATGGTAGAGATATTATTGCTGACACCATGACAGTTCCCCCCCCCCCCCTTTGTTTCTGTTTTTATTTTGGGCAATTATATTTATATGGTGAAAATTACTTTACTGTTAGCAGACAACAGATAGAAGTTCTAGAGGGACTAGCCGCAGGTGCAGGACAATACCCATGAACCTGTCATCTATAATGACTCTTTTAAAAATAAACCGAACTATCTATATCCATACTAATCTAAAATCCAATCCAAAATGACTTTTTTTTTTTTCAAGTCAAAATTTGAGCACTAAGCCACTAGCATGAGCCCTTTATGAAAGACAGCATGCCTAGTAGATATCCCTGATTATTTTAAGTTTGCAGTGTTCGGGATTTCTTTTTGTTAGCTTCTCCCTGATATTGACAAATACCAATCTCAAAATTAGTTTGCAGCATCAGAGTAAAAAGGGGAACCAAAAAATGCGGGACCTGTAGTAGGCCATATCTCTTTAATTCCCTACAAATTAAAAATAGAACCCTTCCCCACCAGGCCATCACATCTTGAGAAATCAACGGTCAGATTCTGATCATAGGACACATCTCACCCGGAGCAAGCACTGCTGCGAGTTTCTGAAAGTTTATAGATATCAATTCACTATCACATTCTGCTACATCAGAGAGCCCTGCTTCCTGCTACTGCAAGCCCCCCCATGACCTGAGCTTTTGGAATTAAACCCAGTATCCACCAGCTATAATTGTTTGGCCCTGGCAACTTTCATCTTTATTACAATGAGCAAATCTAGGGTCCACAAGAAACTCACCAAGCAAGCCATTGCCGATCAGAACCAAAAGCCGCAGAAATCAGAGAAACAACCGTCTTGGGTGGTGGTGAGAGGCCTATTGACCTGTAGAAACGTTCAAACCCAGCAGCAGCAGAAGCAGTCGCAACAGATTCCTGAAGGGAAACAACAGCCGAAGAAGAAACAAGAACAGCGAAAGTTGCAAGAAGAAAGAGTCCCAGAAGATCAGAACGGCAAGAAGTGCAAGAAGATGAAATGTTCAGGCTCGCTTTGTAATAACACCAATATCATGGCTAGGCCTGAAACGGGATGCCCTGATGCCCACAACAAAAAGGCCTCACTGTCTGCATGTAGCGGCAGCAACAATGATGCTTCAAGCAGATCCATGAAAGCTCCTCCTCGAGAACCAAACACCGCTGTTTTAGCATCTTCTTCTTCATTGTCAGCATCTTCTAGTTCTTCTGTTAGCGGGTCTTTCAAGGGAATGCCCTTCAGGAGACTCTCTGGTTGTTACGAGTGCCGAATGGTGGTTGACCCTGTTCTGGGTTTCACCAGAGACCCTTCTCTCCGGAGTAGCATTTGCTCATGCCCAGATTGTGGTGAGATCTTCATGAAAGCTGAAAGCTTGGAGCTTCATCAGGCTGTTAAACATGCAGGTAAATCCAATTCAAACACCAATTATTATTCACAAGAAGCTGTTGATTTTTATCTTTGGACATCTATTTCAAATTTATTTCTCCTGTTAAAAATTTCAGTGTCGGAACTGGGTCCCGAAGATACAAGCAAGAATATAGTAGAAATCATATTCCATTCAAGCTGGCTAAAGAAACAGTCCCCAGTCTGCAAAATAGATCGCATCCTTAAAGTCCACAACAACCAGAAGACGATTTCCAGATTTGAAGAATATAGAGACACCATAAAAGCCAAAGCCACAAAGCTCCCCAAGAAACACCCACGTTGCATAGCAGATGGCAACGAGCTGCTCAGGTTTCACGCAACCACCTTCGTCTGCTCTCTGGGCCTAAACGGTTCGTCTAACCTCTGTAACTCAATGCCTCAGTGCAACGTTTGCAACATAATAAAGAACGGATTCAAGGTCGCCGTAGAAACGAACGGAGGAAACGACGGGACGGGAATATTGACGACGGCGACTAGCGGGAAGGCACACGACAAAGCTGTGGTTTCCGCGGACGAGAACAACGACATTAGGGCGATGCTGGTTTGTCGGGTAATAGCTGGCAGGGTGAAGAAGAATGTGGAAGGAAGCATGGAGGAGTATGATTCCATGGGAGGGGGTGTCGGGGCGTACTCTAACTTGGACGAGTTGTATGTGTTCAATCCAAGAGCTATATTGCCTTGTTTTGTTGTGATCTACAGAGGATTTTGATGCGCCCTGTCGGGCTAGGGGTTTAGCTTTTTTCTTGAAATGAATAATGTGTGTTCATTTCTGTGCCCATCTTGTTAAATCACGGCAATATGGCTATTATTTGTCATGGGAAAATATGGGTTCATTTGTGTATTCTTCCCAATCGGTGTTATAGATTTGGCCCTAGAATCGAATTGTATATTAGTGTTTGCCCTTTCATTTTCGTCCTGCGCGTACGTGTCTCTTTTGCAGCGGTCAAAGTTGTTTTCGTTGAGATATCATCTTCGATCGGATACAGTACAATCTATAGCCATTGTGTTTCATTTCTTTTTTATATGGAAAGAAATATCTTGTCCCCCATAAGAACTAATGTCAAGTGCCATCAACTGGGAATTGTCAAATCCAATCCGTAGCTAATTTCTACCTTTTCTGGCTAGATTTGTGAATAAGTCAGTCGAGTAGAAACTTCAAGCATATCTTGCCTGATTTTAACATCTAACCTCGATGTTTCAAAGAAGACGAGTAATTTTGAAAGGAGAAAGACAATCTCTCACTCTACATTGACAGCAAAACAGTTCTTCAATGAGCAGAAATCTGAATACCAGCATAATTATTGCAAGCATAGTGACTGTGAAAGGAAACAGAGTTTACGAAATGTTTTGGATGGCACTAAGTTTTGGAAAACAATCAGCAGCAGAAGCAGGGAAGCAAAAGTGGCGAATGTAGATAAAAAGAGGCCCCGCTTAGCCACGATACAGTGGATTGACCATTTAACCTCCTTTGTATTCTTGGCTGAGAAACATGGCGCCAAAAGAATGCGCAAAAAGAATTTGGGCGTGGAATTTTGTGTGCAGCTTTTGCAGTATGCTAGTTATTGAAAACGGTGAAGGAATCAGAACTTGACAACGCATGCGTCGTGCCTGTGAAGAAACAAAAAGAGAAGGCCGTAGCAAGTCAGAATGAGGACCGATTCGGGAGACCAGAACGCAGTGGATGCAATGATTGAGAAGGAATCGAAAGCACGAGAAAGAGTTCTTCTTTAGATGAGGATGACACAGACTAAACGGTAAATTAAACAACCATAACAGCATGCATGTTGGAGACCTTGCACAGCAAAGAGTTAGCCGTAAGCAACAATTAACATGCATAACACATTTAATAAAATTAATAAAACAATAATAAATATAAAAACGAGATATATATCCTGTATAGTTGTGTTACTTGTAGCTGGGGACCATATTACGTCTTCTGCACATGAGGTATGGAAGGATTTAAGGAACGGGAACTTTGCTTGGACGGGAAGAACTAAGCACACGATTTAATTTCCGAAAGATATAATGTTTGTCCTAGAATTTTTTTCCAGGGGTTCGTAAAGACTAAAGAGAGAAAAAGCCAAAGCACCTAAACCCAGTGCAGCACAGGAAGCAACTAAACACAACCCAGCCACGACGTCTTTATCTGACATCCTTTCAAACAACCCTAGTGCATTGTCGATATCACCCTGTTTTGCATATAGATCGATACGAATGCTTCCAGCAACACAGTCTTACTCGCAGCCAAAAGTTATTACCAAACCATGCACATGAGACGTCATCGTCTCAAATTCTTGAAGTAGATGTAGATCTTTAAAGCGATATTGAAAGCATGGGAATCAAATTGTGCCTCAGAATGATGAATCAGATTGAGAGAATTTGCATAATCTTCGTTGACAACATACCCAGAAAACAAAGCATGGTATTGATCAAATATCTTGATTGCTTCATTTAAAAACTAAAAATTTGAATACTTGTCAAACAATGTTAATATGTTGTAAATGCTAGACTCAAAACCAGACTTAGTAACATAACAGTGAATCTGTCTTCTCGTGATTAAATCGTTAAGACAGCCACCAAGTTCACATCTCTCATTCAAGGAAAAAAATATATCATAGTTGTAAAAGCTGCAACATTTTCTCAAGCATACAAAATGGAAAGCCTAAAGTTTCCAAAAACATAATGATTGTTCCCAATCCATGGAAGGCTGATAGATGTCAAAAGTGTAATTGATGTGTTGACCACGAAAGATCAATTTTTTAATTCATTGTTTAATCATAAATGCTATTCACACCCCAGTACATTCTTATCACCTCAATTAGCGTGTCCTTGTATTATATAGAGTAAGAAAAATAAGTCACGTATGAACACGGTGGTTAAGTATAGAATTTTTTTTCTTCTTCCTGCTTTTTTTTTTTTTTGTTGGATATAAACGAGGGCACATAAACAAAACAAGAAGGGATTGAGGTCCCATGCACTCCTTTTCCAAGGTCCTTTAAGATGGAAAGGAACAACATCAAGGAGAGACAAGCTATTAAGCCCATCTTTGGCCAGTCTATCTGCCACACTATTCTGGTCCCTTGTAACATAATTAACTCGAACAACCCAATCACACTGCAGCAAAGAGAGAACTTGAATTAGTAGTAGGCTACAATTCCCAGCCCTTGAGCTATTATTCAAGTTGTCCACCCCCGACTTTAGCATCAAATTCTACAATGATTTTTCCGAATCCCGTATCCCGAGCAAGGCTCAACCTCCTATAAAATAGCCCACTCCTTTGCCATATGCGCATCAGCATGACCCAAGTTATGTGTAAACCCAACGATTCAGACACCATCCTCATTTTTAATAATGCCACCACATCTAGCCATACCAATAACTGTCGATACTGCACCATCGACATTAACTTTAATCCAATGGCTTGGAAGCTTTGCCATATAAGTAGATCGGGCTGCGGTTTCCTCAGTACAGCTACCAGTTTTTGACATGGTGAAATGTTGCCAAATATTTCTAATTACAGATGCAGGTTCAGCTGGTTTAGTAAAATCATCGTTAAAGATAAAACAATTTCTCCAGAGCCATAGCTTCCAGATAGTAACACCCTAAATCAAATCCCATTGTAGTAAAGTCGTTGTCCAAGTTTCCTATGCAGATTCATAGAGAATCAATCCTTTAAAGATGCAGAAAAGAAAATGGTGTGGTAACTAGGTTCAAGAAGCTGCAACCTTGCATATGAACAATCTTGTAATATATGTAGTACATTCTTTGACATAAAGTAGAACATCGTGCCCACTTACCTCGCCATTCATTAGTCGGCAATCTACTTTGAACAGCTAACCATATGAAGGCCTGAATTCTTTCTGCTCCTTGCCACCTCCATATAGTTTTATATATAGAATCATACAGATTCTCAGGGTTGAACTCAATTGAAAAATAAGCACTTTCAATAGAGAAGCACCTACTATGATTAGCATTCCATACCATGATATCATGACCCACACCATCCATTGGTGGTAAAATCGCGATTAGCTTTTGAATTGTATCTGTAGGTAGGACTTGAAAAATATGAACAAAGTCCCATTTGCCATAGGCAACCCATTTGACCACCGTACTCTGGTCCTCTTCGACGGTTAAAGGCCGTAAACAGAACTCTTTTAGCCTTTTGTCTAGTAGTAGCCAAAGATCATGAAAGAATCAAACATGTTGCCCACTCCATATCTGCCACCTTGTTCCCTTCTCAGTGATATCATGTTGGCAGATGAATTTCCAAAGTGAAGAATTAGCTGTGTGTGCCTTGAGGAGATAGTCTTCTTGGCGCATCGTATATTTCTTGGTTAACACATCCAACCACAACCCATTGTCACCACTAATTAACTTCCACGCCAACTCTGCCCCACACGCACGATTAACCAAAGTTATTTTCTTAATACCAAGTCCCCTGTAAGTCTTAGGCATCGTAATCCTATCCCAGCTAACCAAATGGTACCCATGCCTCACACTCCCATCACCCTAAATGAAGTTGCGTTGTAATCTCTCTATTTCATTGCAGGTACTTGTAGGCATCCTAGCCACTTGCGTCGGATACAGCGGAATGGTGCTTAACATAGACTTAGCCAAGGTTATTCTCCTTACAAAGGACAAGCAATTTGGTTTCCAGTTCGAGAGCTCGGCCTTGACTCGGTCCATAATGTACTGAAACTTTTCCTTTGTCTTCTTACATTTGGATAAAGGAAAACCTAAGTATCGCCCAATTTCACTATTAGTCTTCATCCCTGTTATGCTTTTAATTATTGCTCTCAGTGCGGCAACAACATTAAGGGAAAAGAACATTGAAGATTTTTCAACACTGACTTTTTGCCCTGACGCCCAGTGCACGGAATTCATTGGGCAGGTCATCATAGTTTGTGCTTGTGCCTTAATAGCTTCTCCAAAAAGTAATAAATCGTCAGCAAACTTCAAGTGAGATATTGATGGCCCAGTTTTAGTAACATGGAACAGCTTCCAGCATCCACTATTAACAGCATCAGATATCAAACGAGATGACCTGTCCATGCAAAGAACCAAAAAAGTAAGAAAATAGGATCACCTTGTCTAAGATCCCTGCAAGGGTGAAAATAATCAGACAGTATATATATTTTTCTTTTGTTGACAGAGAAACGTTTTGTTTGTTTTTCTACTGTGGGGGTTTTGATGGACAGATCTAATTTTGTAACTAAAGCCCAACTCATGCCCTTGCATTGTCAGTAGAATCTGATTGTTTTTGTTGGGCTGGACTTCAGCTTTATGCAAAGATTGAGCCCTTTCAGGGGCCAAGTTGCCATAGCCCTTCAAAACTTTTTGGTTTTGGAGTTCGGAGTTCGGAGCGTGTGTTCTACTTTTTCAGGTGGTTAATGCTTCTATTCGCACGCGCGCACAAAATAATTGCTGAAAGTTTGATTTTTTTAAAAAAAAAAGAAAGAAATTGTTTATAAACATAAATAAATCTTTCCACTCAAAAGGGGCACGCATTTATAAAGTATACATATAAAAATGAAATAGATCATAATTACACTTTTAAAAGACAATCATACAAAAACTTACTCTTCAATAAAATTCTACTCAACATTATTATCACAATTTACACTCCATTTCCGCACATGTATCTCAAAATGATTCAATTATTTTAATGAAAAAAATTTTCATGTGCCTCAAATGCAAAAGTGTGTATTTAGAAACTTGGGTCTTGGTCAAATCAGTGTGATGGGAACAATTTTATCTTAAAAGCTACGAGAACTTGTTTTTGCTGAGCTTTCAGATATAATCTAGATATAGTATGGTGACAATTTTTCTCACCCTAATACACATGAATTTCCTATTTTATTTATGTATATAAAACATTCTTAACTATTCAATATTTGGAAATTATTTCCTT